ACAAAGTGGGTCTGGGCTCTGGGGGGGCTCCTGAGGGCTGCTCCCACAATTGTCCATCGGAAAAAAGGGGCTGAGTGGGTTCTTTGGGGTCTCTGGAGCACAGCCCAGCCCCAGGAGGTCTCCTCATCCCTGTCAGGAGATCTCACCCCCGTCAGCCGCTCTCCTGCCACGCATGGGATGGTCCACTTCCACCCCTGAAGATAAGGGCAGCCAAGAATCCCGTTTTTTCTTATTTCCTGGAAAACCCTGCCAGGTTTATGCTCCTCCATCCCGCTGCCTCCCACGCCAGCGCGGTGCCAGCCCTGGAGCCCGGCCAGGACGAGCCCCAAACAGCCCCACCACGGGCCAAAGCTTCCCGGGAAGGCGAGAGGGAGGCACCATTCCCAGGCAGGAGCCAGCAGCCCCAGGGCAAGTGATTCCCGGGTCACCATTCCGGGTTTAAGCCCTGATTTAGGCACCCAAATCCATGGCCTGGGCTGGAAGGAGCCACCATCACCCATCGGATCAAGGGCAAGGAGAGGATCCAACCTCTGACGGCCGCTTATCCCTGACCCCGTGAGGGAGAGCACCACCTCCGGGATGCCAGGGACACGGGATGGGGATTTGGTAGCCACACACAGGGCGAAGCTGGCCCCCTGCCCCCGGGGGGTGGCCGGGGGAGCCGATGGCAAGCGGATTTTCTGGCTGCTCTCCGCCTCCTCCCGGCAAGCGGAGCCGATGGGGAGCAGCAGATGTGGGGCAGCCCCACGGAGGAGCAGCAGATGGAGGGGAGGTGATAAAACATCTCCTGCGGGCGGGAGGAGGAGGAGGAGAGGGGGAGCAGAGCAGCGGGGATGAAGGCAGGGGGGAAGCTCCCGTGTCTCCCCACCAGAGACGGGGCTCGGAGCCGGCAGCTTCGGCAGGAGGAGGCTGAGCAGGCGCCTCCGGCTGCGATTTGGGATAAAAAACACCCCAAAACCTCATCGTGCTTCTCACCGGAGGCTCTTTGTGAGTAACCGGCCACCCCCATCGTCTCTGCGGAGGACGGACGTGTCACCCCCTCCATTGGAGAGCGGGGAGCGACCGGCTCAGCCCAGGAACTGCTTATCCTGCTCTGCAACGGCACCGGCAGCTCCTCTCTCCAGCTGCACCACGAAACACCCTCCACCGACAGATCCAGGACCTCTGATGCCCAACCATCCCACCCCCACACCCCCCGGAGCCCCGGCATCGCTCCTCCAGAGCCCGACCGCCCCCCGCAGAAGCCCCCGCCGAGGACCGGGCAAGACCGTCGCCGCTAAAAAAAAAGCCTCCTGTAAAAGGTGAAGCCGTTTCCCCTGCGGGTTCTTACCTCCTTCCTCCACTTGAGCTCGCAGAAGACCCTCTCGAAGCACTCGTGCATGTAGTTGAACTGTGAAGGGAAAGCGGGGTCCCTCAGAGGGGCCCCAGGAGCCCCCCTGGCCCCCAGCCCAGGCTGGCACCTGTCCCCAGCCCCGGGCTCGCCGTGCTGCGGGCTCCTCCTCGTGGCCACCAACCCTGCATCTCCTCCCACCCCAAAACCTGCACCACGGGGATGCTCCTCCAGCTTCCAGAGGGAAAACTGGGAGGGGGTTTTCCTTCCCAGAGCTGCCAAGAAGAGGGGTGCTTACGTAAGGGGTGAAGATTTTAACCCATCGGGGTTTCTTCTCTCCTCGTGCGTATTCGAAACAAAAGGCCATTCCCTCTTCGTCCGTGTCCCACCGCTGCATCTCGTCCCATTCGAATGCTATTACCTGGTTCTGGAGGAAGAGGAGACCCGGGTGAGGCTGAAGGACAGCGAGGAAGAGGAGGGTTTTGGGCAGCTCAGGTGGAATAAGCAAAGCCAAAAGGGAAGGAGGACACCCCGGACAGAGAGACCCGCTCCAGGGACGGGAATGAGCTGGGGAAAGGACACGGGGGACAGGAACGGGCCAGGAAAAGGCCATGGGAGATGGTCACCAACACCCACGGAGCAGCCAGGTAAACCCCTGCCCTCCCCCTGCCCCAAAAACCCGCTGCCAAAATCCCCCCAGCAGCAGCCCTGAGCCCCCAGAGCTCCGGGGACACGGCCCTGGTGCTCTGCCCTGACGGCAAAGCCAAGGAGGTGGCCAGGGGTTCAGCTCAGACCCCCCGGGACCCCCCCATCTTTACCTCCAGCTGCCCCTCCTCTGTGCAGGCGTGGAGTTTAAAGTGCTTAATGCTGATGGCTGTGATGACGTGTCCCTTCCGCCGCGAGTCGCAGGAGCAGTGGGGGAAGATGATCTCGTTGTAGCCCTCGCACGTCCGTAACATGTTTAAATACTGCCAGGAGAGATTTTGGGGGGGGGGTCAGCAGGCTGGGAGGAGGGGAAGGGGACCCCCACATCCTCCTGTGTCCCACACAGCCCCTCGCACCCCCTGGTGCTCATCACCCCCCTGGAAATCCCTGGGTTTATGCCAGCCCAGGAAGGCAGGACCCCCTCCGAAGGACCCCCAGTGCTGGGGGAAGGAAGGGGACCCTTCAGTGGCTCCATTCCCCTCCCCAAACCCCAGATCCATCCATGAACATGGAGCTCCTCGCAGCCTCCAACGCCAAGAGCCCTTCCCAGGGGAGCTGGTGCCCCCAGGAGGGGCACGGACCTGGGCAAGGGGTTAGAGCAGCCCTGGGACCCAGAGCCATCCTCATCCTCGCTAGGGGCTGAAGGTGAGACCAGAAAAAGAGGCTGTGGGGCCAGACGTGGGATCTGGGTTTCTCAGAGTCCCTCGATGCCAATGCTACAACTCATGAAAAGGTCCCAAAGAGGTATTTTTGGCTTTTTCTTTCCTTGGGGGACGCCGGAGAAGCGCCAGGAGCTCAGAGTCACCGCTCGGGAGCCAGGAGCTTCCCCAGGGACCCGCTGCTCCAGAGCCCCACCATCTCCTGCTGCAGGAGAGAGGTTCAGGCCGGGCAGAACCACAACAAAGACCCAAGTGACTTTTTAAGGGAGGAGAAAACCACGTCCAGAGCGGAGGAAAGGGCCAAATCCCTCAGGCAGGACCCTCAAGGGAAGGAGGCAGAGGACGAAGCACTTTGACTTCACAGGCTCTTCGGGACGTTGTCATCTTGACCTCCTGCTGGAGCACGGCCCTGTACCTGCTGTGGGTGTGTTTATATATCTATATCTATATATATTTATGCTGGGATATGTATTTCCAAAGATCCAGATCTTTCCCTGGTCGTTACAAAGCCAACGAGAGGAGCAGAAACCAACTGGCCACGGGATAACCCCCGGGAGGAAGCGTCTATTTGCCAACCCTTATCGTTAGTTAACAATTAACCTTCCTGACCTAGCATTTAGGGTCACCCTCCCCAGGCAGTGCCCCCACTGGGAACCCCCCACCTCAGCCCAATTTGGGGGAGAGGTGTGAGCAGGGTCGAGAGGGGCACCCCAAGGCCATGGCTCCCCGAGAAGGCAGTTGGGGGGCAGGAAAAGGGCATCCCAAAAGAGTGGGGACCAGCAGCAACCCGGGAAGTCATTTACAAGTGAGGTTCTCACACTGTTTGATCCTCCATCTGGCAGAAGAGCCCAGGGCATCTCCCCACGCCGGGCAGGACCACCCCGTCCCACTGAGCCCCCAGTGCCCTAAAAGGCAGAAAATCCCTGACCAGGGAGCGAGCTCCGACACGGGATCTGCAGTTTGGGAAGATTTCTGATGGGCAGAAGGAAACCGCGGCACCGAGGGGGCAACGACTGGCCCCAGGAGCAGGCCAGGAGCCTCCCCTGCCCCGGCTGGCCCAGCACCACCATCTCGGGGGCAGGAGGAGACCTTTGCCTCCCAGTTCCTGGGAAGGAAGAGCCGTCCCCGACGGGCCATGCGTGAAGGATTTCTGCCCCACACGTTGAACACCTCACCCTGTGACAGTGGCAATAACCCACCGGGTCTTATCACTGCCTGGGCTGGAGCTGAGTCAAGGGGTGATGTTGCCAAGGACAGTGTCCCACCATGCTAGGAACAAGGTGGGGGTTTGGTTGGAGCAGCAGCCAACCCTCAGGTACGACCCGGTCCCACACCGGCCATTCCCTCCCTCACCAAGCCCACAGTTCTCCTCCATTAAAGCTTTCCAAGAAAAATGGGTTTTCCAGGGCTGTGTGCATGGAATGGTTTGGGTGGGAAGGACCTTAAAGATCATCTCCTTCCACCCCCTGCCCTGGGCAGGGCCACCTCCCACCAGCCCAGGTTGCTCCAAGCCCCCTCCAACCTGGCCTTGAACCCCTCCAGGGATGGGGCATCCACAGCTTCTCTGGGCAACCTGGGCCAGGGTCTCTGTTCCAGACGTTGGGGAGAAGGAAGAGGCCAGGCAGGACAACTCACCATAACCATCTTTCTCTGCTCACACAGCTTCTGTAACTGGTAGGACTTCTCCTCCGCTTTGATGTAGCCTTTCTTGACATCATCAACAGCCTGAAGAGAAAAAGGGAAAGGAAACCCCGGAGGGTCAGAGCAGAGGACTCTCCGCTGAGTCACCACGCTCTGCTGGCCCCGAGGCTGCTCTCAATAGCCACCCAGAAGGTGACCCATGTCCCTGCAGGATGGGGAGCCTCAAAGAGCTGGTTCTTTGCGCTCCCTGACTCCTGCCACGAGCCTCTGAGCGCCTCGGGGAGCGTATGGATGTGAAAGAACATCCCCTGGGAAAAGAGGATAGATCTGGAAATGCTGGAATCCTCCAGGGATGGGTGAGGACGGGCTGGAAGGACCTTTCCACCCCCAACAGGGCAGCGCTGGCTCTTACCTTCCTGTCTGCTGGAGCCTTGGCATGAAAACGTGCTTCTCCTTCAGGACCGAGCAGGTTCACAGCCCCCCATTTCACAGCCCCCCCTTTCTCTCCCCACCAAGGAGTCCTGCCCCCGGCACAAAGCGGCCTGTAAAGCTGCCACCCAGGAAAGATCCAGCCCAGGGGATCAAAGAAATTTGACAACTACTATTTTCATTCTGATTTGTACCAGAAGAGGCTCAGTTCACCATCAATTCACCCCACCAAGGACCCTGAAGTTACCCAGGCAGGACTGGCCTCAAGTTCACACTCTGTAGCCACAGGACACTCTGGGAGCCGGGTCCTCGTGTCCTCTTACCTCCAGTAAAAAAACTACAGCCCTCGGGCCCCCACCTGATGGAAGAAGTAGGTGACCGCCAGGTCGTTGTCGTTGAGAAGAACCTCCTCCTCTGTAGTGAAGAGCCATTTTCGGATGGTCAGGCACGTCCCCGGCACCGCCGAGGTGTAGTTCTGCACGTAGAGTTTGTGGGGGAATTCATTGGGAGCCAGTTTGCGCACTGGGAAAAGGAAGCACAAGATGGGGGGGGTCAGGGCAGAGCCCCCCAAGGCATCGCCCAGGAGTGGAGACCAACATGGGTGATGCCACCGGCCGGGCTCAGCCCCCAGCTCTGCTCCAGGGCTCTTCTTTCTCCTTCCTGACCAAATCCAGCTTTTTCCTGTGCCTCCTTCCACAGTGTCAGACACGCTGGTCCCTCACGGAGGTGCTCGGGTAGAAATTGGGGTGAGACTGAGCTCCCCTTGGCTGGAGAGCCCAGCACAGCACCCCCCTCCACACACAGTGAGGTCCATCCTGCTTAGGACCACGGTGTCCTGGACCTACGTGCTGCCCCCACGGCATGGGGGGGACTGGAAAAGGTCCCTCCCAGAGCAGCCAGGCCACCAGCAAGCCCCCCATGAGACATTTATTGGGTTCAAATCTGCCTTTCCCAGCTACGACGAAGAAAAAAAGGCAAGTGCCAGGACGTCCCCCTCCACCCTACGGTCACTGTCTCGCTGCAGATGGAGCTTACAGCTTCCAGAGACACTCAATGGAGCGTAACCAGACAGGGATGAATGTTCACCGTGTCCAGAAGGCACGAGCCATAAAGGTGAACTGGAGTTTGTGCTTCCCAGTGCAGCTGGAGGAGTGGAGCACCCACAGGAACTGGGAATTAACAGCTCCCGTTAGAGCCTGGCACCCTAAAACCTTCCTGAGTGGGTCCCTGCCAGTCGGGCACCCCGGCCCGAGGCTCCTGCACAGCCCATCCTCGAAACACAGTCCCCCTCCAGCCCCATCTTCCCTCCCCGTGTCCGTGTCCCATCCGGGAATCCCCAAAAAGCGACCCCAAGCCAGGTGGCAGAGGCAGTTCTGCGGATCTTGGCTGCCCCAGGGGTCAGCATCTCAACGCAAACCCGGCCCGTTCTGACAGATGAGTCATTTTAGGAAGGTTTTAAGCAGCTAAAAATTGCCCCCTGCCATTCAGCCAGAATCTCGTGAGCGTGAGGAAGGGCCCTAGAAACCCCCAGTCTGCCCTAATGATGGGAGCAGTTTGGGGTGCAGGGAGATGATGACACAGAGACGGGGGTACCCGCCTGGGAATGAGAAATACTCGGCTTAAAACCCTTAAAACCCAGCACAGGGTGAAAAATAAAACACAAACCAACCACTAGACCTATTCTGTGGCACGACCACTGGGTTTTGGCCTCTGTACAGCTTCAGCAAAGCTGAGGGAAACCCAGGATGGGGAGAGCAGGAGACCCCGCTGGAGGGAGGGCAATTACTTCAGCACCAAAACCATTGCCCAGAATCCCACAATCCGCCCTCAAACACCACCAGGATTTAACCACGGAAGGAGAGATGAGAGGCTACAAGGCAGCACGGCCCCTCCAGGGCTTGGCATCGCCCCACACCTACATGTGCCCCCCATCCTTTTCCATTCCAGCAAAGGGAAAAAGCCCCCCCCCAAGATGCTGCCCCCACCCTCCGGAGCCGGCTGCGCTGCAGTGACGCTGCCCACGTCCTCTGAGCTCCCCTACTTTGAACTAAAGTAAAAAAACATCTCTGGGTTTAACAAAAAGCTCCTCTCCTTGAACTGCTCAAGAAAAGGGAAAGTCGAGCGGCAGCTTAAAACAAAAAAAAGCCATCAAATTTCGAGGGCTCCTCGTTAGGAGACGCTGCCGTTCCTGCCCCGTCCCTCCCGGGTCCCTGAGCAGAGATAAGAGCTCAGCACCACGGGCTCTGTGAGCACTGGGGGGGATGAAAAGACTCACCAAAGGAGTGATTGATCACTTCAAACAAGGCGAAGTAGTTTGCGGTAATACTGTCCATTCCAACTTTGGCAGCCACAGCCTGAAGAGAAGGAAGGGGAAAAGCAGGTGAGCAACACCAGGAGCAGGAGCTGTTGGTCCCGTGTCAGGGCAAGGCTGGGTTATTCCGGGTTATTCCCAAGTATTCACTAATCTGGGTGCCAGTTGCCACGGAAAAAAATGAGTTTTTACTCTTCCAATCAAACCAGATATTTCCTTAAGCAAAGGCTTAGACTCTTCTGCTTTCACCTTCCTCTAAACTGCTCTAGATTTGACGTGCCACCACGGCTGACAATTAGGTCACCTCCTCTCCCCGTGCAGTGTGTGCCAGCAGAGGAGCACACAGCTCCCCGGGGAGTTCCTCTGGTCCTGCAGCCACAACTCAGGGCCTGGGTGCAGGCGACGTGGAAGGGGGTGTCCCAACCCCAGGAAGACACCCCGGATCCCACCGAGCCCCCCGGAGCCTGCTCTTCCGCAACCCCCCGGCTCCCTCGCTTGCGGCGACATTTTTAGTTCCCCTTTCAAACAAAGGTCTCCCCACACCATCTTAATCCCACCAACAGCCTCCGCTTGTCCTCCTGTGGTGCTGGCTGAGGTTCTTGTCCTTAGTTTTCCACTTAAAACACGAGCCTCCAGCCACTTGCAAACCCGCAGCCTGGCCAGAGGATTCCCCAAAGGGTCACTACCCCCAATATTCCTCCCCACGGGCACGGGGGGGCTGCTGGGGTGGCCACAGACACCTCTTGGATCCATCCCCAGCCCCTGTGAGCTGTAACACACGATCCGTCCAGCGCTCGGAGCCGCCCGCCAGCCCTCAGATATCATCAGTGGCAATTAATTCAGCGATGACTCCAACCTTGCAGCCAAAACGCTGCTCCAGCTCGGGGTTCTCCAGCCTCCTCATCCTCCCTGCCACCACGAAGAGGTGTCGCTGACACACTCACTCAAGGGGAGCGAGTGGGCACCCACGGGGTCTGGGGTAACGGCCGAAACGCGTTAAATCTTCCAGTTAAGGCAAAAAAAAAATAAAAGAAATGAAGCCGCTCACCTGGTAGACCTGGTCTGTGGTGCTGTTCTTTTTGACCCTGACGGTCACCGTGGTTATATCGGGCAGTGCCACCCGGAGCTCCACGTCCGAGACCCCGTTGTAGTTCTGGGGGAGGGAAGGGGAGAGGAGGGAGATCAGCATCACACAAGCTGAGCCCCTAGCCCTGTGGACTATTTATTGCCCTGCGCTGGCTAATTAGGGGTCACTTCTAACGACCAAAAGCGACCCCAAGCCAGGTGGCAGAGGCAGTTCTGCGGATCTTGGCTGCCCCAGGGGTCAGCATCTCAACGCAAACCCGGCCCGTTCTGACAGATGAGTCATTTTAGGAAGGTTTTAAGCAGCTAAAAATTGCCCCCTGCCATTCAGCCAGAATCTCGTGAGCGTGAGGAAGGGCCCTAGAAACCCCCAGTCTGCCCTAACGACGGGAGCAGTTTGGGGTGCAGGGAGATGGGGGTACCCGCCTGGGAACGAGAAATACTCGGCTTAAAACCCAGCACAGGGTGAAAAATAAAACACAAACCAACCACTAGACCTATTCTGTGGCACGACCACTGGGTTTTGGCCTCTGTACAGCTTCAGCAAAGCTGAGGGAAACCCAGGATGGGGAGAGCAGGAGACCCCGCTGGAGGGAGGGCAATTACTTCAGCACCAAAACCATTGCCCAGAATCCCACAATCCGCCCTCAAACACCACCAGGATTTAACCACGGAAGGAGAGATGAGAGGCTACAAGGCAGCACGGCCCCTCCAGGGCTTGGCATCGCCCCACACCTACATGTGCCCCCCATCCTTTTCCATTCCAGCAAAGGGAAAAAGCCCCCCCCCAAGATGCTGCCCCCACCCTCCGGAGCCGGCTGCGCTGCAGTGACGCTGCCCACGTCCTCTGAGCTCCCCTACTTTGAACTAAAGTAAAAAAACATCTCTGGGTTTAACAAAAAGCTCCTCTCCTTGAACTGCTCAAGAAAAGGGAAAGTTGAGCGGCAGCTTAAAACAAAAAAAAGCCATCAAATTTCGAGGGCTCCTCGTTAGGAGACGCTGCCGTTCCTGCCCCGTCCCTCCCGGGTCCCTGAGCAGAGATAAGAGCTCAGCACCACGGGCTCTGTGAGCACTGGGGGGGATGAAAAGACTCACCAAAGGAGTGATTGATCACTTCAAACAAGGCGAAGTAGTTTGCGGTAATACTGTCCATTCCAACTTTGGCAGCCACAGCCTGAAGAGAAGGAAGGGGAAAAGGGGGTGAGCAACAGCAGGAGCAGGAGCTGTTGGTCCCGTGTCAGGGCAAGGCTGGGTTATTCCGGGTTATTCCCAAGTATTCACTAATCTGGGTGCCAGTTGCCACGGAAAAAAATGAGTTTTTACTCTTCCAATCAAACCAGATATTTCCTTAAGCAAAGGCTTAGACTCTTCTGCTTTCACCTTCCTCTAAACTGCTCTAGATTTGACGTGCCACCACGGCTGACAATTAGGTCACCTCCTCTCCCCGTGCAGTGTGTGCCAGCAGAGGAAAAGCAGGTGAGCAACACCAGGAGCAGGAGCTGTTGGTCCCGTGTCAGGGCAAGGCTGGGTTATTCCGGGTTATTCCCAAGTATTCACTAATCTGGGTGCCAGTTGCCACGGAAAAAAATGAGTTTTTACTCTTCCAATCAAACCAGATATTTCCTTAAGCAAAGGCTTAGACTCTTCTGCTTTCACCTTCCTCTAAACTGCTCTAGATTTGACGTGCCACCACGGCTGACAATTAGGTCACCTCCTCTCCCCGTGCAGTGTGTGCCAGCAGAGGAGCACACAGCTCCCCGGGGAGTTCCTCTGGTCCTGCAGCCACAACTCAGGGCCTGGGTGCAGGCGACGTGGAAGGGGGTGTCCCAACCCCAGGAAGACACCCCGGATCCCACCGAGCCCCCCGGAGCCTGCTCTTCCGCAACCCCCCGGCTCCCTCGCTTGCGGCGACATTTTTAGTTCCCCTTTCAAACAAAGGTCTCCCCACACCATCTTAATCCCACCAACAGCCTCCGCTTGTCCTCCTGTGGTGCTGGCTGAGGTTCTTGTCCTTAGTTTTCCACTTAAAACACAAGCCTCCAGCCACTTGCAAACCCGCAGCCTGGCCAGAGGATTCCCCAAAGGGTCACTACCCCCAATATTCCTCCCCACGGGCACGGGGGGGCTGCTGGGGTGGCCACAGACACCTCTTGGATCCATCCCCAGCCCCTGTGAGCTGTAACACACGATCCGTCAGCGCTCGGAGCCGCCCGCCAGCCCTCAGATATCATCAGTGGCAATTAATTCAGCGATGACTCCAACCTTGCAGCCAAAACGCTGCTTCAGCTCGGGGCTCTCCAGCCTCCTCATCCTCCCTGCCACCACGAAGAGGTGTCGCTGACACACTCACTCAAGGGGAGCGAGTGGGCACCCACGGGGTCTGGGGTAACGGCCCAAACGCGTTAAATCTTCCAGTTAAGGCAAAAAAAAAATAAAAGAAATGAAGCCGCTCACCTGGTAGACCTGGTCTGTGGTGCTGTTCTTTTTGACCCTGACGGTCACCGTGGTTATATCGGGCAGTGCCACCCGGAGCTCCACGTCCGAGACCCCGTTGTAGTTCTGGGGGAGGGAAGGGGAGAGGAGGGAGATCAGCATCACACAAGCTGAGCCCCTAGCCCTGTGGACTATTTATTGCCCTGCGCTGGCTAATTAGGGGTCACTTCTAACGACCAGCTGGTCTGCAAGCCTGAAGAATCCCTTTCCAGAGACATTTCTGCTGGGAGACAGGACACTGAGCTCCAGCTCACGACGGGGTGGGATTCTCCATGGATCCACCAGCGAGGGGAGCCTCCGGGACACGGCAACGTATCTCGCTGCCAAAAGGTCGGGCAAAGAGCAAGAGTCGAAGGGCAAACAGCAGCTCCCTGGTTCCCCACGTGCAACAACAGGCAGCAAAGAGCAGCCTGGATTTTGTGCCACGGTTTTCTGCTCAACCAAGGCCGCTTTGGGTGGGGGGGAGAATCATAGAATCATTGAGGTTGGAAGAGACCCTTGGGCTCATCGAGTCCAACCATCTCCCCTACTCTCCAAAGTCCTCCCCTACACCATGTCCCTCAGCACTGCATCTAAACGGCCCTTAAACACAGCCAGGGATGGGGCCTCCCCCCCCTCCCTGGGCAGCCTGTTCCAACGCCCGACCACTCTTTGGGTGAAAAATTCCTTCCTCATGTTCAATTTGAACCTCCCCTGTTGGAGCTTGAAGCCGTTCCCTCTCGTTCTGTCACTAATGACCTGTGAGAAGAGACCAGCACCAACCTCTCTACAGTGTCCTTTCAAGTAGTTGTAGAGAGTGATGAGGTCTCCCCTCAGCCTCCTCTTCCTCACACTAAACAGTCCCAACTCCCTCATACGATTTGTTTTCCAGCCCCCTCACTAGTTTCGTCACCCTCCTCTGCTCTCGCTCCAGCACCTCGAGATCTCTCTTGGATTGAGGTGCCCAAAACTGGACACAACACTGGACACTGGGAGGAACCTCTCTGCCCCCTGATCTGCTTTCACGGCGCCCGTAAGGAGGCAGAGCCCCAGCCCCGACCTGCCTACCTCGTCCGACTCCGAGAGGAACTCCTGCATGATGTCACTCTCCCCGATGACGCGTATGGAACACACTGTGGGACAGAGAGCAGGTTGGTGGGGGGGTCCAGGGAAAGGGGGAGACCCCCCCCCAACTCCCAGCACCGTCCCAAAGGCGACAGGGAAATAATTAACAGTCTTTTCCGCAGGCAGCGTGAAAGGAGGGTGGTGTCTCCAGCCTGGAAAAACCTTCCAAAAAGCAGCGTTTTCCAGGCTGTATCAGGTCTCCCGGGCACAGGGACTGCTCCGGCCCAAATTCCTTACGATAACGAAGGGGGGTGCTGAGTGACCCCCCCCGAGATACCCCCCGAGGGTGAAATAACACCCCAGGACAGAGAGCCCAGAGCAGGCTGAGACCACGCTTAAAAAAAAAAGCAGGCAAGGATTTCATAAATAGTGCTTTTGCCTCTCAAAAAAATAGTTATTCCAGAAGGATTGAAACTATTTGGGGATTTAGGCCAAGTTGAGCAAAGTTTGGACTCAGACTGTACTGCGTTGCCTCTAAGATGCAGCCGGTCTGGCCCTTCCTCCAGCTGGGGACTGAGGATGAGGATGGACGAGCTGGGCAAGGCTGAGATATCGCAGGTCGGGCAAAACCTGACCCACATCCAACACCCGGGAAGAGGGGGCTTTGCTCCTGGGGCTGGGAAAGGGAAGAGGCTGGGAATCTCCTGGGATAACGGGGCAGCCCAGGACGAGGGGTCACTGCTCCCCAAATCCCACCTGCAGCCTCTTCACCACAAAGAGAGGGGTCAGACCCTCCAGCCAGGAGCCCCAACACGGGGACAAGGCTTTTCCATCGCCCACACTCGACCCAAAGGAACCTCCTGCTGCAGGAATTGGTTCCAATTAACCAGAACCTCCAATTAACCACAAACGAGCTCAGACCGCACCGGCTGGGCCTGATGAGAACGGCCTCAAGCATGGCTTTCTCCCTGCTCCAAAGCCTCCCTCCTCTTCCTCCTCCCTGTGCTTCCTCCTCTCCAAGATTACCGGCAAAAAGACACCAGAAATAAAAGCTCGTTGTGCGTTAAAAAAACTAATTATACATTTTGTTGCTGGGAGTGCGCTGCGAGCCGGTAACGTGGGCATCGCTAAAGCGAGTCCAAGCTCCCTCTCACCACTCCAGCCCGAAAATCCAACCCAGACACAAACGAGCTCCTCTCCCCCCACGGGTAATAAATCCCCGTGAGGTTTTGGGGCACCCATGGAATCACAGAATCACAGAATCTTAGTGGTGGGTAATAAATCCCCGTGAGGTTTTGGGGTGCCCGTGGAATCACAGAATCACAGAATCTTAGTGGTTGGAAGGGACCTCTGAGATCATCGAGTCCAACCACAAAAAAAAACAAACAAACAAACAAACAAACAAAAAAAAACACACCACCAACCAACCAAACAACACCAGCTCCCACCACCTAAACACACAACAACAACCTTCAACCAAAAAACCATCACCCACCCACACAGCACCCCACCACAAACCAGTCATCTTGGGCACTAGAGCATGCCCTGAAGAACCATGTCTACACGTTTCTTAAATACCTCCAGGGATGGTGACTCCACCACCTCCCTGGGCAGCCCATACTTCAGACCATTTCCTCTGGTCTTGTCGTTCGTCCTTTGGGAGAAGAGGCCAACACCTGCCCCTCAACACCCTCCTGTCACAAGTTGTAGAGGGTGATGAGGTCTCCCCTCAGCCTCCTCTTCTCCAAACTGAGGGGTGTCCCCCCAGGAAGGCGGCGCAGAGCTCCCAGCTGGGTACCTTTCTCCAGGTACTCCTCCAGGCCTCGCCGCCGGCTGTCCAGCTGCTGCTCCGACAGGGAGAAGGGCCATTTCCCGGGGAGCCGGGGGAAGGTGAAGTTGGCGAATTCCCGTTTCAGGTTCTGGTGCAGGATGGCAAACTCCCGGTACCGCTTGGAGCAGAGCTGGCGACCCGCCATGTAAACGTTGTAGACCTGCAGGGAGGAGAAGGGGCTCAGCGAGGTGGGAAGAGCTTCCCAAAATCCATTCCGGCACAGCCCAAACCCTTCCCGGACCCAAGAGTAAATAAGGAGGGTTTGAACCAGAATGAGAAACTGGTATGAACTGTTAAATACATCCCTGCTGACCCCTGGGATGTCCCAGCTACCACCTCCGTCCCACAGCAGCAGGATCAGCACCAGTTCAAGGCTCCTTTCTACTCCTGAAGGAGAGGAAAAACACCCCTTCAAAGGGCAAAGTGCTCCACTGAACCCACAGCTTTTGCCTTAAAAAGCAGCAGGAGTTCAACCCATCCAGCGTCGCCTCGGGAGAAGGAGAATGCTCCCAACAATAAGCAGCTCTGCAGGGGAAGAATGACCCCCCTTGTGCCGTGTCCCCGTCTCCACCAGTCGCTGACTGAAACTGGGAGCCAGCTGGGGCTCGGGTATAGGCTCTGCTGGACCCCGTGGCAAGCTCAGAGGACCAGTGGCCAGGCTCTGCTGGACCCCGTGGCAAGCTCAGAGGACTAGTGGCCAGGCTCTGCTGGACCCCGTGGCAAGCTCAGAGGACTAGTGGCCAGGCTCTGCTGGACCCCGTGGCAAGCTCAGAGGACTAGTGGCCAGGCTCTGCTGGACCCCGTGGCAAGCTCAGAGGACTAGTGGCCAGGCTCTGCTGGACCCCGTGGCAAGCTCAGAGGACTAGTGGCCAGGCTCTGCTGGACCCCGTGGCAAGCTCAGAGGACTAGTGGCCAGGCTCTGCTGGACCCCGTGGCAAGCTCAGAGGACTAGTGGCCAGGCTCTGCTGGACCCCGTGGCAAGCTCAGAGGACTAGTGGCCAGGCTCTGCTGGACCCCGTGGCAAGCTCAGAGGACTAGTGGCCAGGCTCTGCTGGACCCCGTGGCAAGCTCAGAGGACTAGTGGCCAGGCTCTGCTGGACCCCGTGGCAAGCTCAGAGGACTAGTGGCCAGGCTCTGCTGGACCCCGTGGCAAGCTCAGAGGACTAGTGGCCAGGCTCTGCTGGACCCCGTGGCAAGCTCAGAGGACTAGTGGCCAGGCTCTGCTGGACCCCGTGGCAAGCTCAGAGGACTAGTGGCCAGGCTCTGCTGGACCCCGTGGCAAGCTCAGAGGACTAGTGGCCAGGCTCTGCTGGACCCCGTGGCAAGCTCAGAGGACTAGTGGCCAGGCTCTGCTGGACCCCGTGGCAAGCTCAGAGGACTAGTGGCCAGGCTCTGCTGGACCCCATGGCAAGCTCAGAGCAGTGACCAGGCTCTGCTGGTGCTCCTGGCACACTGGGAGCAGTGGCCAGTGGCCAGCGTAGGGTGCTGGAGGTCGGGGTGACCCAGACGGACGCTGGGTTTGCAAACTGCCATCACCCCCCAGGCAGGTGAGGAAGAGGAAGCAGAAGAGCTCGGCGAGGCTTGAAAACACCCCAAGTGCTGCAAGAGGAAAGAGTGTCTTTGTCCAGCCCGTTGGGGGTCCCTTCTCCAAACCCAGCCAGAGCCCACCACCCCCACCGAGCCAGAGCCCATCTGAAGCCTCAGAAGACACATCCTCCTCAGGCCCCTGGATGACAGATGACAATATCTGGGCAAGGACTCCCGGCCTCCCCAGTAAAGGCAACAGGAGAGGCAGGAAACCCAAAGGAAAAGGACTTCCCACAGCTATTTCCCCCGACGCTCCCTGAAGGGAGATGGAAGGGAAAAGAAACTGCTGAACTTCAAGGCATCCGCTGACTTTGCTTTTACACCTCTCAGGGATGTCCTTAAGGCTTGGTGGAGAGCAGGAGGTACGAATACCAACTCATACCAACAGAATAACTTCCTTTTTAACCTTCAGGAGAGACCACGCTATTCCACATTCGTAATAAAAAGGTTTCCCAGCGCATAGGAAGTAGCCAGAAAAGAATAACCGAGGACAGGAAGAGTGAGGACGGGAGCATCTAAATAAACCAGCATCAAAACCAGTCAATAACAAATTAACCTGGCCCCATCCTGAAGACACCAACGGTCACGAACACAAGGACCGTGCCGGCCCGGGCCACAGACACGTCCCAAAAACCCTATCCCAGGTGGTACCAACCACAAACTTCTCGCCGTTCTGCTCCACGTGCTTGTAGGTGGGGATGGAGATGGGCACGGCCTGTTTCTCCGTGTAGTCGTAGAAGGACTGGCCCAAGGAGTCGTCGCCGGGGTCCAGGTTGTCGGCCTCGTGGGGAGGCACCGACAGCACCGTCAGGATCAGCTCCTTCTCCCCGGCGCGGATCAGGTCCACCACCTGCTTGTGCGTTGCTCCTTCCACATTCACCCCGTTCCTGCCGAGGGGAAAAGCAGAAAAGCTGTCAGAAAAGCAGAATTGGCCACAGAAGCCCCCAACCCACGACCCCCCCACACCTCTGCTCCCCTTGGAAGCCCCTCCAGCCCCGACCGCTCTGCTCTAAACCCCACTTATTTTTCCCTATCGATGGTTTCTCTCGTTATCAGTTACTGACTTGTGTTCAATGAATTCAGACACAACTAAAACTTCTTCAAGGCTCATCCACCCCCTTGGATATTTAAGGCTGGTTCTGCAGTTTTCACCATTTCTCAGTGGTACCACACGCCACGGTCGCACCCAGAAAGCGAGGCTTTTGCCGTCAGCAAGACAACCACAGAATTGGGGAAGAAAACCCCGAACACACCAAACTCACTTCTCTGCCAGGACAGAGCCCATCTCTGGAGCATCCACAGCTCCAAAGCGTAAGGGAATTTCCCTGAACACGAACTGAAGCTCCAGGTGAAGAGGGATGGGGAAGTGGGGAAGGAGACTCTGGGAATTACAGCGGGTTACGCTTGAAATATCGTCAGGCTGCGGTTCAGAAAGCTCCTGCTGCAAAAAAACCCCATGCTGGGGGGCAGAGCAGAGCTGTGTTTGCTCCGTAATGAATTTTAAAGCCTCTTGGAGGCCGAGTATCTCCAAAGCAGAAGGCTGAAGACAACGAGGTGCGGGTGGACACGGTTCCCCGGCTGGAAGGGGGACGAGCTGCTGAAATACCCACTTGTGCCCCCAAAACCCCGCCAGCACGGTGTGGGAAACATCTCCCCCCCCAGCCCAGGAACCCAGGGACACCCATGGGGGAGTGTTCCCCACAGGAACCGCTGGCAAAGGCCGGGGGACCCCGAGGAGGAAGCACAGAGACAACCCCCCCCCTGCCACGCTGAGCCGAACAAGCAAGATCCCCCAGACACGGGGAAGAACATTTCACTTCTCCCATCCGCACACCAAATGACTCATTTTCTGCAAAGATTTCTTAAAATTCCCCAGCTCTCTGTCTGTCAGGAGATGACAAGGAAATTCACTGGGAGGAAGCCCGCAGTGAGCTTCCTGGAGACGAAGAGCCCGCGGCCTGCCTTTGTGCTGCCTCCAGGCAAAGCCCTAACCCAGCCGACAAACCGCCCCGAGAAAAGCACCCCAAAAACCACCCGGGTCATCGTTAAGGCTTTGGGTTTTAGCCCACGCTGCCAGAGGGGCCACCACCCAGCTCTGCAGCCCGGGTGAGAGCAGCAAAACCCAAGTGCAACAAGCAGAGCTCTATCCATCCGGCAAAACCAGGAGCATCTTCCAGCTCCTGATGCTCGGCCCCAAGCACATCTGGCCCCTAAAATTCAATATATCACACCAAGCAGCTCCCTGAACTCCTCCTCCTTCTCTAAAACCCCAGTTCTTCCCCAACATCCAGCTGTGGGAGAGGTTTTGGCCTCTGCAGCCTGGGTGAGAGCAGCAAAACCCAAGTGGAACAAGCAGAGCTCTATCCGTCAGCAAAACCAGGAGCATCTTCCAGCTCCTGATGCTCGGCCCCAAGCACATCTGGCCCCTAAAATTCAATATATCACACCAAGCAGCTCCCTGAACTCCTCCTTCTGCTCTAAAACCCCAGTTCTTCCCCAACATCCAGCCGTGGGAGAGGTTTTGGGCGCGGGGCTGAGACAGGAGCGGTGGTGACAGGTCGCTCCCCGCTCCGAGGAGGGCTGAGGGAGGAAGAAGAGCGATGAAGATGAGCTCCAGCGACAAGGGCAGCCACGGGGGGGATCAGCAGCTCCTTGCACGGGAGAGGTGCTGGGAATAAAGACGAGGAGCTAATGAGCTTACAGGGCACGGCGCCGCGGGGCGGCATCTCCCAGCTCGTCCTGCAGAAAATCCAACCATCCCGGGCTGCTCGGCCGGGGACGGGGCAGCATCTCCCCATTTCTGATCACCCCAGAGAGAGGAAACCAGCTTTCCTCTTCCACGCCGAGAAACCCAGCCTCACACCAACATTATTCCAAACAGATTTAAAAGAAAAATCCCAGAAAGACACCAAGAAGTGCAATTGGAACGACCTTTCCCGTCTCTCACGCGGGAGGGACATGGAGGAGGCTGGATAATGGTCATTTCACAACATTTTAAGGAAGTTTGAATGTGCCTGTGGGTATCGAGGGGCTCTGCTCCGGCAAACAGCGCGACTGCCGTTCCCCAGCTCCCATCACCAGCCACTCCTCCCGAATTCACACTCCTGGAACTCCCTGGAAGCAAAGAGTGTTAACCTTTCAGAAGGTTAAAAACTAAATAGTGCCTAAAAGCAAACAAGGGCTGACTCAGCAGGGGGAAATATTAGTCCTGCTGAAAAAGGGATGATGTTTTGGGCGCTTGTGAGACCGAACCCGTGTGGAGTCCTCTCTAGAAGCTCAGGAGCAGTGAGTTGCACTCAGCAAGAGGAGACGGGATCTGGGTCAAGGCCTCCTCGGCGTCCCCTGCCCTGAACTATGAGAAAACCACCCCAAAAAGCCCAGCGACCGAGGCTGCCGGACCACGAGCCCTGGCGCTCGCACGGAGCTGGGCTTTTAAGCGTAACCTTTTCTGCCCGACATCAAAGCGACGATTCTTATCTGTGCCTTTCTGCAGACCCAGATTCTCCTCCGCCTGCCGACGGCCGCGTCCCAGCCTCCCGCAGCGGCTCCGCTCTCCCAACCGCCCTCCTTCAGCGAGGACCCTGCAGAACCACAGCCTGAAAGCCACCGTCAGGAGATGCTCCTCCGGCGGCGCCCTGAGCTCCAGCCCTTCAAAAAAAGGGCAAAAAAAGATCCCAGTCCCACCAGCAGCCCAGGATCTGGGGCTTCACGAGGCTCTCGATGCCGTTTCCATCTGCAGCTGCCACTTTGCAAGGGCGGGATTGAATCCCACTAAAACAAAACTCTTCCCCTGCCCTTGTGTTTCATCCGTCGCTGCTTCCCCCTGTGTCCGGGAAGCGAGGATGGGAAAGGATGGGTCAGCAAAAAGCCACCACAACTCGCCAGGGACCAACATCCAGCACCAACGTCCCCACCAGGAGCCGTTTCCAGCGAGCCCACGGGGACTGACCCATCAGCTTCAATATTCTGAAGGGACCAAAGCAGGAGCAGAGGGCACAGGAGGTGGAAAAAGGGGTTTAAATCCCTCCTGCCTCAGCCATCGCACACACAGAGCTGCTGAAACACACGGCAGGAGCCTTAAACCCGGGGAGATAAAAGGGCTCGTGTGCTTCCCTAATTGTGCGCTTAATGGGAAACCCAGCACACGAGGGTTCTTCATTTACCCACCGCTGGCATCTCTCGAGAAAGAAAGAGAGACAACATTTGCAGTTTTTTGCTCCGAGAGCCGGACTGAGCACGCGGAGCCAGCGCAGTCGGGAGACCCCAGTTACTCCCAGCCCTCATCTACAGCCTTCATGGGGAAAATCCACTCCCCTCTGGCAGCCCCGCTCGTAAGAGGGGAAAAGAGATGCCAACCCACTGGAAAATGCCCCCAACATGGGTGGGAAAGCGAGGGATGGAGCCTGGAAAGGTTGGGGATGATTGCTCGGGGAGGATGTGGTGGAGATGTGTCCATCAGCAGGACACACCGAGGCAGATCCACCCGGCCCTCGCTGGAGCAGAACCAGCTTTTCCCCTCCCCAGGCCGATACACAAAACTAGACTTTAGACCAAGGAGAGATAAAGAGTTTAATCTCCCGAGGGAAATGCCTCCTGCCCCGCGAGGGTCAGGGAGAGGCTGACTCCAGTGGGGGTTACTCCATCGGGACCCACACTGAGGGGCACGACGACACCTTCCCCGGCAGCAGCCGGTGCCGTGACTGTTTCGGATGATTTTTGGGTGCAGGAATGAATGATGGAGACCCATTTTTCTGGTACAGCCCCCCCCTGCCCTCCCAATCTCACCCAGATGGGACCAGGTTTCCACCCCACACAGTTCAATAAGGTGGGGAACAAACCCCTTTCTTCATCCGTGCAATCATTTCTGAGCGAGCTCCCCTGCAAACGGAGCAAACGCCAGCGAGATCCTCTTCCCTGTCAAGATTAGTTATGATTGTCATTCAGGGTGATAATCAAGAACTAAATTAGCTTTCATTGTCTGTCTCCAATGCCCTCGACACCCACAAACAGGCAGGCAGCTAAGGAGATTAGAGAGCACGCCACGGCCGCGCTGCAAACCCCACCGCGGAAAGCTGGATCTGGGAGCGGGGTGAGGAGGAGGAGGATGGGGAGAAAGGGCAGAATAAACCCTTCAGACAACACCCCAAACAACCCTCGGTCTCCCCCAAACACCCTTCGGCCTCAGAGGAGGACGGGGGAGCGGGTTGTGTTCCTCCACCCTGTCCAGGGAAACCACACGCACGTTAGAGCATCTGGACCCTCAACCCAGCAGGGATGGGGGGTCTCTCTGGGTCTTCCAGCCCCACACACGTCCCCCGAGTGAGGTGGGGAATGGACGTGGGGGGACAGACCCCACAGAGGAGTCACCACGTGCTGAACACTCTGCAGCAACAGGAAACCCACCAAGGCCACGCAGTGGAAGAATCTCAGAGTCTCAGGCTTGTGCTCCAAAAAAACGCTCAACCAGCCCCAGTTTGGGGCACAACCAGCCCAATTGGAGCTCAATGAACCCCCCTGGAGCTCAGAGATGTGGGGTGCTGGTGGGTGAGAACCTCAACATGGAGCTGTTGGAGCGGGGCCAGAGGAGGCCCCAGAGATGCTGGGAGGGGGGGGCTGAGAGAGTTGGGGGGGTTCAGCCTGGAGAAAGCTCCAGGGAGACCTTGGAGCCCCTTCCAGTCCCTCAAGGGGCTCCAGGAAAGCTGGGGAGGGACTCTGGATGAGGGAGCGGAGCCGCAGGAGAAGAGGGAATGGTTTTAAACTAAAAAAGGGTAGATTCAGGCTAGATATAAAGAAGAACTTGTTTGGTGTGAGGGTGGTGAGAGCCTGGCCCAGGTTGCCCAGAGAAGCTGTGGCTGCCCCATCCCTGGAGGGGTTCAAGGGCAGGTTGGAGGGGACTTGGAGCAACCTGGTCTGGTGGGAGGTGGCCCTGCCCAGGGCAGGGGGGCTGGAACTTGATGATCTTTGAGGTCCCTTCCCACCCAAACCATTCCATGATCCTACGATCTGCAGAGACACCGAGCAGCTCCTCCCAACGCCCCACTCCAGACCCTCTTCACCGTGACCACCAAACCCACCGGGGGGGTCCCTGGGGCGGACAAACCGGGGGCCGTGCCGGGACGACGGCGTCGGACGTGCCCCCGAGCCTCCCGGGGAACACCACCCCCACCATTGTGCGCAGGGTGCTGCTGTGGAAAGGAAGGGAAATCAGAGCTATTTTTGGAGTCTTGTTTTATTGTTTTCTACTCCCGCTCACAACCCTGCGAGGGTTTTGACTCGCAGGAGCCGGGTTTTGACAGACCCGAGGGGAGAAGAAGCAGCGTCCTCTGGGCAGAGGGGGGGTCCTCAGGCTGCCAAAACGGGGCTGGTGCCAGGAGTATTTTGGGGCCGATCGATGCCGTCGGGGTAAGGAAAGCGAGAGCTGATAACGGAGAAGGGCGAGAGCCAAACTGGCAGCGCGACAAGAAGATCCACGGGCAAATTAAAAGCCGCTTCTCCCAGGAGATAAAGGAAGAGGAAATGCCCCGTCCTTTCAGCAGAAGCTGCCCTGGCGGCGGGGGGGCCACCAGCAAACACCCTCCTGCCCCCTCCTGAACCGCCGCTGTCTCTCAGCTCTTTCAGACTCCACCGTGTTGGTTTGGCGACAGAGCAAAGGTCGGGGGGACACGCCGGGGGCTGAACCCCAATTCCAGCCTCAAAACCCACCTCCCATTTCAAACAGGGGATTTTAAGCATCTTCCCCCCCCATCCCAGCAGGAGAATCCCAACACAGCCCCTCACGACACACACACAACATTCCCCCTCGCTCAACCAAGGCTCTTCTCTCAAGCAGATCCTCCAGGTGCAGAACGAACTCACCCCCTGAAACTGTTCTTCTGCACAGGAAAAGAATTTAAAAAAAAAGAAATAAATAAAATCAAAGCGTAAAGTATTTGGGTCACACGGGAAGGAGCCAAATCCCAACAGCCAGCTCCCTGCGGGGCACGGCCGGGCTCCGTAGCCACGGGCTACTCAGAGGAGCGCTGGCCCCAAAGCCGTGCCGCCGTCCTGCCCACACCGCAGCCTGCGAGGACTGGCAGCGAAGCGCTCCTGCTGCTGTGAATTCCCTGTAATTAATAAGTAATTGAACTTAACCAGCTCGGCACGAAGCGCGGATACGTCAGGATCAGGAGGCATCGGGCAGCGCCGGCCCCGAGAACCACAAAGCAAAGGGGAAGACGCTCGGAAAAAAACACCTCGACCGGCCGAAAACCCTCGAGGGAGGTTTAACTGGTGTCAGTCCCCAAAACGAGCTCAAAGTTTAAAGGTTTGGGGTTTTTTTGGGGGGGAGGGGGGCAGGAGGGGAGATCAGTTTCCACACAGCTGAAGCATTCCCAGGGAAAGGTGGTTTTGGGCTCACATTGTAATTCTTGCTGTGGAGAAACAGCTACTGCAGAGCCCTGGACACCCCGAGGTCCCAAAAATCAAACCCAAGAGTCTGGTCCCGTCCCACCCCATCCATTTCCACCTCTGGCACCTCCTGCCAAGACTTGTGGCTACCATGGGGGGGGAATTGGGCCACCAGCTCCAGAGAGCACCCCGCTCTCGCCCCAAAGGAGCCCCCTGCCCACCCCGGGGGGGTCTCTCCATCCCTCCAGCCCCCTCCTCACCCGGGATCTCTCCCAGGAACAGCATTTCTCCAGGAGCTCAGTGCCCCCCCCAGACAAATCCCCCACCTCAGCCACCCCCTCCCACCAGCCCCTTCCCGGCCGGGGGGGGACAGATCCAGGGACGAGGCTCCTACAAATATTTCTGCTGCTGAGGAGCCCTTCCTGCTCCACGATCCAAGGGATATCCCCAAAAAATAAAGGGGGTGGGGGAGGAGAATCTCCCAAGGGATGAGCTGCCAAAGGGGACCCCAGACTCACCCTCCCAACCCTCAACCCCTCCACACACCCCACAAAGAAGAGGATCCTCTAAATAACACCCTAAAAAATGAGTGTCTCACCTCTCCATCCCCAGAGCCCCCCCGGGGGGAAGACACAGCCCCACAGCTCCCTAAAACCCTCCATGAGAGGATGAAGGCAGCCCCCCCACCCCTCTCTGGATATAGGGGTCCCCAGGGATGAGAGACTGGCCTGACCCCCTCATAAGGGGTCCCCAAAGCCCCCAGTGAGGGGAGGCCAGCCCCCCATAAAGGCTCCCTTGCCCAGTCGCCCCAGTAAGAGAAGCCCCCCCAGACCAGGCCCCCTCACCAGGGGTCCCCAAAGCACCTGGGCAGCCAAATACAGCTCCTCAGAGGAACCTCCCCGGGGGACCCCCCCAAAGAGGGGGGAACAAACCAGCCCCCCCCAGCCTCCAGTGAGGTCCAGCCACCCCGAGAACCTCCCCACATCCCCACCGAGGGGCAGCCCCCCTGGCCCCCCATTACAGGCTCCCTC